AGGAAAAGAGAAAAACAAACACCTACACACACATAAATAGTTAAATAAAACAAGCAACCAAACAAACAAAAATAAAGATAGCTAAAAAAGAAGAATCCAAAAAATAAGAGATATAACCAAACTAACAAAAAAAATAGTAAAATTAAAGGCAACCATACAAGAGAAAAAAAATATGAAAATGAAATAATGAAACACCACCAAAAAGTATGCAGTGAAAAATAAAAATCTAAAAAGCCCCTAAAAGTATAGTAAGGATTTTTCTTAGTTTTTTGTTTAAGGAAAACTGGAATTTTTGCATCAGCATCAGAAGATGGAGAAGAATGAGACACCACATCAAAGCAACTAAACTGAATTTTTTAGTTTAAGATTATAATAATTTTTTTGTCTTATATATATACAACAAATATATACATACATAATTATATCCAACTATAAATAATCTACTTAATTCATAAATGGTAAATTAACGAAAAACTGAAATAATTTATAGCATTGAAAAATTGTATACGTAAAACAAGAACTACAACAACACAATACTATAATTTAAATTTTTTTTTATATATATTCCCAAGAAAAAAAAATATAAATAATTTAAATGAATGTTTATAAAGAATTATTAAATGATTGAACGGGTTCCGCGATCATTTTTACGACCTACATAATTCAATTGCCTCGTAAAATGACCGGATCCGGCTATCTCGCTCCATTTCCATCTGTAAACCAAAGCAAAATAAAACTGATAAATAAGTGAGAAATAAACTGGAAAACAATTGAAAAAAAAAAAAACAGAGCAAAACGAAACACATAAGCATATACTACTACATACATACCTACAACAACCAACCAACCAAACAATACGAAAAATAGTTAAACAAGAAAAAATCAATAACTAAATAAATAAAAAAACACAGTGAATTTGTTATATTTTTGTTTTTAAAAAACAATATCAATTGACAGGGATTATATGAAAATATAATAAAAAAAATACATGAAAATAATAAACCAATAACAAGCGAACCATAAGCAGAAAAATATGAAAATAAAACCAATAACAACAACAATATACACTCTATAGCAAGGAAATAAAATAGCAAAACCAAACCAAAAGAAAACAAACAATAGTTAAAAAAAAAAAACAATTTTTTTAAATAATAATTTTTACTAAAATTTTTTTTCATTTTTAAATTTTCTCTATATTTTTGTGTAATAATAAATTTTATTTAATAAAATAATTAATTTTACGCATGAAATTTTCACAATTTATAAGGAAAATAAATAATTATTTTAATTTTTTCAATGATTACGGAGAAAATCCAGGATATTCTTAAACAAGAGCTAAAAACAAGGCACATGTATGGTCATTTTTATTGCAAAGTAACCTAAGTGGTGGGGGCAAGTTCCCCTCTATTCCACACTTTTGGAAATTTTCAGATTAAGATTCCTCGGAATCCGTGCATTTTAGGTATATAGTCTCAACGGCAGAATTGCAAATAATAATTCGAGGAATATATTTCCCGAAAATTTTAACCCTCAAGTGGGCTAAATAATGGGTCTTTGTGGTCATTTTTCCAAAATATGGTTAAAAATTCCCTTGAAACGGGAATGTAACAAGTCAAAATGCTTTACAAAATTATTTGTCATAAAAATCTACTATAGGTCCTAGAAGACCTTAAGAGTCCAAATCTTAGGTAAACTCCAGGATCACATATATATCAAAAACACATTTTAGGGTTAAAACCGCACTTTGTGTGAGATTATGCAAAAATCTACAACAAAGCATCATTTTACAAGGATGACGTCAGAGACGAGAATATTCTCCATCAAATTTTACTATAAGTCAACAAGGAAAAGAAATCTCTATTTCAAATGCATATAAAACAAATAATTGCATGTTCCCCCTCTTCCACCCTTTTGAAAATGTTCGAATTAAGATTCCTTGGAATCCATGCATTTTAGGTATATAGCCTCAATGGCAATATTGCAGATAAAAATACAAGGAATATTTTGCTTGAATATTTTAACCCTCAAACAAGCCAAAAAAGGGTTCTCTTTGGTGCATTTTTTCAAAATATGGTTAAAAACTCCCTTTAAACGGGAACTTAGCAAGTCAAATTATTCTACGAAATTATTTGTTATAAAATTCTACTATAGGTCCTAAAAGATGTCAAAAGTCCAAATCTTACGTAAACTCCAGGATCTCATTTATATTAAAAACACATTTTAGGGTTAAAACCATACTGTGTGTGAGTTTGTGCAAATATTTATAACAAAGCATCATTTTACGAGGATGACGTCAGAGACAAAAATATTCTTCATTCTTAAAATCTTACTATAAGTCACCAAAGAGAGGAAAACTCTATTTCAAATGCATATAAAAATAAATAAATAAATAAATAATAATTGCAACTTGCCCTCTCTTCCATTTTTTTGAATATTTTTGAATTGAGATTCCTCGTAGTCCACCTATTTTACGTATATAGTCTCAATGGCAATATTACAGATAAAAATACGAGGAATATTTTTTCAGAACATTTTAACCCTCAAGCAATCCAACAAAGGGGTCTGTTTGGTCCATTTTTCCAATATATGGTTAAAAACTCCCCTTAAACGGGAACGTAGCAAATCAAAATTGTCTACAAAATTATTTGTCATAAAATTCTACTATAGGTCTTAGAAGATGTCAAGAGTCTAAATCTTACCTAAACTCCAGGATTTCATATATATTAAAAACACATTTTAGGGTTAAAGCCGTACTTTGTGTGAATTTGTGCAAAAATCTCCAACAAAGCATCATTCTAGAAGGATGACGCCGAAAACAAAAATATTCTCCATCAAATTTTACTATAAGTAACCAAAGAGAGAAAAACTCTATTTCAAATGGATATCAAAAAAAAATTAATAAAATAAAATAACAATAATAATAATTGCAACTTCCCCCCTCTCCACCTTTTTGCAATTTTTGAATTTAGAATCCACGGAATCCGTTCATTTTATCTATATAGTCTCAACGGCAATATTGCAGATAAAAATACAAGAAATATTTTGCTTTAATATTTTAACCCTCAAACAAGCCAAAAAAGGGGTCTCTTTGGTCAATTTTTCAAAATATGTTTAAAAACTCCCTTTAAACGGGAACGTAGCAAATCAAAATTGTCTACAAAATTATTTGAAATAGAATTCTACTACGGGTCCTAGATGATGTCAAGAGTCTAAATCTTACCTCAACTCCAGGATTTCAAGTATATATTAAAAACACATTTTAGGGTTAAACTCGTACTTTGTGTGAATTTGTGCAAAAATCTCCAACAAACCATTAATTTAAAAGGATGACGTCAGATACAAAAACATTATTCATCAAATTTTACTATAAGTCACCAAAGAAAATAAATCATATAGAGTCTCTTCGACAATATTCTACATCAAAATTCAACTAATATTTTGGTCAAACATTTTAACCCTCAAGCGAGCCAACAAAGGTGTTTTTTTTTTGTAAATTTTTGATTTGTCATAAAATACTACTATAGGTCCTGGGAGACCTCAAGGGTCTAAATCTTACCTAAACTCCAGGATTTCATTTATATCAACAGCTCATTTTAGGGTTAAATCCGTATTTTGTGTGAATTTGTGCCAAAATCTACAACAAAGCATCATTCTGGAAGAATGACGTCAGAGACAGAAATATTCTCCATCAGATTTTACTATAAGTCATCAAAGAAAAGAAATCCCTATCTCAATTTTATATCAAAAAAATAATTGCAACAATGTTTTCAAACAAAAAACATTCCCTTATTTCTTGATCAATTTTCCCCGGGACTTTTTCCGATGTAATGACTGAAAGTAATATAAAATTTCATTTTAGGCAATTGATGTTAAAAGAAGAACTATTCTACACCAAATTTCCATATAAATCTCAGGATAAACCATATACCTAGGTGCAATAGTTTTTATAAAAATGACATTCGAAACTTAGGTACTACAAGTGATTATTATGTGTTGCCTTTTTTGACTGTTATTTTAACACGTATCGCAATCCAAGTCAAAATCTCCCTGTCCTCTTGATTTTTTGGAGGAGATATTAAAGAAAGAATTATTCTACACCAAATTTCATTGGGAGTCTCCGAACAAAAGAAATTTGTATACCTAATATGTACCTTAAAAACTGGCATAATTTTTTTAAATAAAAATACCTCTTTAATTTTTTGATTAATTTTTCCCCGGACTTTTTACGATGCCTGAAAGTAACATAAAAATTCATTTAAGGCAATTGATGTTAAAGGACAAACTATTCTACACAAAATTTCACTATAAATCTCAGAACAAACCATATACCTAGGTGCAATAGTTGAAATGAAATTATATTCGAAATTTAAGGACTATAAGTGATAATTATGTGTTTGCTTTTTTGGCTGTTATTTTAACACGTATCGCAATCCGAGTCAAAATCTACCTTTATACTCAATTTTTTGGGGAAAGTGCTAAAGTAGGAATTATTCTACATCAAATTTCATTTGGGGTCTCTGAACAAAATAAATTTGTGTACCTAATACGTACCATAAAAAATGGCATAAACTTTTTTAATAAAAAAAAACCATGTTAATTTTTTGATCAATTTTTGGCCGCACTTTTTTCGATGCCTGAAAGTAACATAAAAATTCATTTTAGGCAATAGATGTTAAAGGACGAAATATTCTACACAAAATTTCACTATAAATCTCAGAACAAATCATATACCTAGGTGCAATAGTTGAAATGAAATTTTTTTCGAAATTTAAGGACTACAAGTTATAATTATGTGTTTGCTTTTTTGACTGTTATTTTAACACGTATCGCAATTCAAGTCAAAATCTCTCTTTGGTCTTCATTTTTTGGAGAAAGTGTCAAAAAGAGAATAATTCTAGATCGAATTTCATTGGGAGTCTCTGAACAAAAGAAATTTGTATATATGATATAAACTATAAAAAATGGCATCAATTTTTTTTATTAAAAAAAATTGCAATAATAATAAATATTTCTTTGAGCTTTAGGTCTGGGTTTTTTTCCTTTATTAAAATCCGATATTTCGCAATGGGTTACATTGCATCTTCAGGGAGATCTACAAAAATACATTTTGATTTTTATATTTCATGTTATCACAGCATTAAATTATTTAACAAAACGATAAAAGACAAACAGAAAAATACACAGAAAATAAATATATTGCTTACATGTAAAACATCTATAAAAGTGTCAAGTTTTACTTAAACCTACGATAGAATTTCACTATCATCGTCTGTGGTAAATATTGCACTGAGTTGTTTTACATATTGCACGATCTATTTTTCTGTGTGAGATGGCGGTAGCAATAAGCTGCGTTGTCGGTGTCGCTCTTATAGTTTATTCTCTTTGTTGTTGGTAGGTTATTAATATGTAACATTTCTAAAGTCAATCTCCTGTTGTAGTTACTCTCCGTTTGTAGTATTTTAATATTCCCAAAGTTTGGTGTGTGGTTATTTCTCCTGCAATGCTCAGCAAGAGCTGTTTTTTGTGTCTCATTTTCGTTTCTGCATTTGATGTTTGATTTGTGTGCAGACATTCTCGTTTTAAGTCTGTTTTTTGTTGTCCCAACGTACAGTTTCCCACATTTTTCGTTGTTGTTTCCCTCGCATTCAATTTGGTAAATTACGTTGTGTTTGTCTTCGGTGTTTATTTTGCTTTTAGTGTCGCTGAAAAACTTTTTTAGAGTGTTGTTCGTTTTTTGCGCTATTGCAAATGTATTCTTGTCGTATATGTTAGATTTTAAGAACCTTTCTGACATGTGTGGTATGTAAATCATCGACTTGTATGTTTTTTCCTCTTTTTCCTGCTTTGGTCTTGTGGGTCTATATTCAATAAAGTTGTTGATCATGTTCATTGGAAAATTATTCATTGTCAATATTTCTCTGATTTTGTTTTTGTTTCGGCTGTGGAATTTTTCGTCACTTATATTCAATACTCTGTGTACAAAATTTTTAGCAGTGTTAATTATTATTTGTTTCGGATGCTTTGAAAAGAAATTAATGATTCTGCCAGAAGCTGTCGGTTTTTGGTACCAATCAAATTCTATTTTCTCATTGTTCCTACAGACTATTGTATCCAAATAGGGTAATCTTCCATGTAATTCTTCCTCCATCGTAAATTTGATATTGTTATTAAAGCTGTTTAACATTGTCAATGTGTCTTGTATTGCACTTGCTTCAAGAATCACAAAAAGATCGTCAACATACTTCGTCACAATCGTCGGTTTTGTTGTAAGTTTTTCCAAACAGGTGTCAAGTAATTTCTCCATCACCAAATCGGCTACAATCGGAGAAGCCGGCGAACCCATTGGAAGTCCTCTCTTTTGTTTGTACACTTTGTCGTCAAATTTGAAATAGCGGTTGTCCTTGATGCAGAAAGTAAGAATATTGAAAAATAAGACCTTTGTCATATTTGTATATTCTTTTATTTCGTCCCATCTATCTTCTATTAAACGAATTCCTAAGTCTACGGGAATGCTAGGAAACAGGGAAACAACATCAAAGGACACCATTCTTTCCGTTTTTTTGATGGTGACCTTCTGTAGTTTATCCTTAAATTTTTTCATTTTTCAAAAACATTTTTCAAAATGTTGACGATATATCTGCAGAGTTTAATTGATGGAGAATTGACTGATGAGCAAATTGGACGCAAAGGGTAATCTTCCTTGTGGATTTTAGGAAGTCCGTATAATCTAGGAGCTGTGGCCACGTCTGTTTTCAGTCTTTTCTTTTCTAAAACTGAAATTATATTGTTTTTAAACAGTTCATCTACCAGTTCATTATTTCTTTTTATTAAATGTGTTGTAGGGTCCTTATTTATACGTTGATATATCATAATGTCATTTATTATATTATTCATTCTTTGTCTGTAGTCATTTTTATTCATTGCAACTGTAACATTCCCTTTATCAGCATTTAATTTTAAAATATTTTTGTTTTTATTCAAAAAAGCTCGAGTGTGTTCCACTGTGTTATTTATAAACTTATCTCTCCCGTCTTCTCTCATCTTATTGATGTGTGAGTCAAATTTAAGTAAATTGTTAATTTTTTGATCAATTTTTCCCGGACTTTTTTCCATTGAATGCCTGAAAGTGAGATAAAATTTAATTTTACTTGGAAGGTGTCAAAAGAAGAAATATTCTACACAAAATTTCACTTTAATTCTCAGAACAAATCATATATAAAGGTACAATATTTTTATGAAAATTACATTCAAAACGTATGTACTAAAATCGAAAATTATGTGTTTGCTTTTCTTAATGTTATTTTTTGGAGAAAGTGTTAAGAGAGAATTTTTCTACATCAAGTTTCATTGGGAGTCTCTGAACAAAAGAAATTTGTATAATGAATATTTACCATAAAAATGGCATCAAGTTTTTTTTAATAAAAAAAAAACTTGTTAATTTTTTCATCAATTTTTCCGGGACCTTTTTCGATTTGATGACTGAAAGTGAGGTAAATTTTTATTTTTCTTGAAAGGTGTTAAAAGAAGAAATATTCTACACCAAATTTCACTATAAATCTCAGAGTAAACCATATATCTAGGTATAATACCTTTTATGAAAATTACATTCGAAATTTAAGGACTATAAGTGATAATTATGTGTTTGCTTTTCCCACTGTTAATTAAACACGTTTCGCAATCCAAGTCAAAATCTCCCTGTCCGCCTGATTTTTTAGAGGAGATATTCAAGAAAGAATTATTCTAGATCAAATTTCATTGGGAGTCTCCGAACAAAGGAAATTTGTATACTGAATATTTACCATAAAAAATGGCATCAATTTTTTTAATTAAAAAAAATCTTGTTAATTTTTCATCAATTTTCCCCGGACTTTTTTCGGTTGAATGCCTGAAAGTAACATAAAATTTAACTTTAGGCAAAAGAAGTCAATAGGAACAATTTTCTACACAAAATTTCCATATAAATCTCAGGATAAACGATATATCTAGGTACAATAGTTATTATGAAAATTACATTCGAAATTTAAGGACTATAAGTGATAATTATGTGTTTGCTTTTTTGACTGTTATTTTAACACCTATTGCATTCTTAGTCAAATCTCCCTTTGCACTTAATTTTTTGGATAAAGTGTCAAAGAAAGACTTATTCTATATCATATCTATATCTCTGAAGAAAAGAAATTTGTATATATAATATAAACCATAAAAAATGGCATCAATTTTTAATTAAAACAAAAAATGTTAATTTTTTGATAAATTTTCGCTGGATTTTTTTCGATTTAATGCCTGAAAGTGACGTAAAATTTAATTTTTCTTAGAAGGTGTTAAAGGAGGAAATATTCTACATAGCATTTCACTATAAATCTCAGAATAAACCATATATCTAGGTACAATAGTTGGTTTGAAAATTACATCCAATTTTTTAGGACTACAAGTGGTAATTATGTGTTTGCTTTTCTTACTGTTATTTTAACACATATCGCAATCCGAGACAAAATCTCCTTTTATACTTAAATTTTTGCGGAAAGTGCTAAAGTAGGGCTTATTCTAAATCAAATTTAATTGGGAGTCTTTGAACAAAAGATATTTGTATATTTAATATGTTCCATAAAAAATGGCATTAAGTTTTTTTTTAATAAAAAAAACCTTGTTAATTTTTTGATCAATTTTTGACGGACTTTTTTTGATTTAATGCCTGAAAGTGAGGTAAATTTTTATTTTACTTGAAAGGTGTTAAAAGAAGAAATATTCTACACAAAATTTCACTATAAATCTCAGAGTAAACCATATATCTAGGTACAATACCTTTTATGAAAATTACATTCGAAATTTAAGGACAACAAGTGATAATTATGTGTTTGCTTTCTCACAGGTTACTTAACACATATCGCAATCTAAGTCAAAATCTCCATTTTCCCTTCATTTTATGGAGAAAGTGTCAAAGTAAGACCTATTCAAAATCAAATTTTATTGGGAGTTTCTGAACAAAAGAACTTTGAATACTTAATAGGTACTACAAAAAATGGCATCAGTTTTCTTAAATAAAAAATTCTGTTTATTTTTTGGAAAATGTAACACTTTTTTCGAATTTAGCACATTTTCTTATAATTTCACTGCACTGCAATAGCCAATCTGTTCTTGTTTTTAGATCGCACCCCTAAAGGAGATTTCGGTTCTTGGGCCAAATATTGTTAAGGCCCTTATAAAGTTCTGACCATGTACAAGGAGGCCCCTGTAGTTTGAGATATATTTCGCAATATTTAGGATAAAGCTTTCAAAATTTGATGGAGATCTTTGGATTACATCCAGAATTATTGGTACAGAAATGAGTCGGTCCACTTTTTGGAACAGCCGCCTTATAAGGATAACTCCGATTTCAAGCATTTTGAACGTTTTTGCCATGTTTTCCATTTAATTTCGCCAAATGTTGACATTTTGAGTTCTTATTAAGTAGGTCCTTTTTATTAATATACCCCCTGATTTTAATTATTTTGGGGGTCTTGACCATATTTTCGAATCGAATTCGAAATCTGTCCGACAGGAGGACTATAATATAAATTTAATATAAAGGACCCTCATATTAAAAAGTCATATTAAATTAAAAACTAATATTGAAATTAGGAAATAAGCAAAATCGATTAGAAAATGTGGCCAAGACCCCCACAATAATTAAAATAGGGGACTTCTTTACAAAAGGGCTGTGCTAAACGTATGCGAAGTATTGCTTATTTTTATTCTAAATTCATGCCTTGCCACCTGATTTTTATTTCAGGCAGACATCTCAGGCAGATCTTCGGATTTCAATTTATAAAAAAAATGTTTATAAATTGTGAAAATTGCATGCACTTCAATTTTATTTTTTTTTTTTTTTTTAATTTTCCCATGTACATATTGTTTATACATAGTAAATAAAAAACTTGATTGATTTTACAAAACCAAAAAAAAAAAAATACTTTACAAGGAATCTACAACAACATCCAGCAATACAATTGGTTTTCCCCTCAATCCCTCCCTCCCCGTGTAAACACCTTAAAACAGAAAGAAAAAAACAATTGAGCAAATAAAAGGAATTACTGTTGTAATTTAAATAATATACAAACCAAAAACAAAAAAAAAGCAAACAACAGCAACAACAAAAATAGTACCATGATTAACAAACATATTTATATTTATTAAAAAAAAATTACAAAATAATTAACAACAAATATTTTTTGGTTGTTTCCTAATTTTTTTATTATTATCTGTTCTCAGTTTTACAAAATATCATCAATTCAGCCTTAAATCAAAACAAAATAGTTTTTTATACACTTTTTGTCTTTTACATATCCACCATCAAACAAAACAACAAAACACAACAAAAACAAAGAAAAAACTGAAGATATTACCACAAAATAAAACAAAAACCAGCAAATATATAAGTAAATATCAATTTTTTATACATAAATATTTACCTATATATACAAAATATTTAGCCAACAAGAACTTCCTGTTTTTTTTTTTTTTTTTTTTTGTTTTAATCGGATTTTTCTGTTACAAATAGCAAGACTTTTTAATTTTTTTCAATGTGTTACAACAATATGTTTTCTTGAATTTCTTTAGAACATCAGAAAGTGAGAAAAACTAATCTTTATAAAATAACATAATAATAAACAATATCTGTGAGAAATATATTTTCAATTACGTTTTGAAATTTAGGCAAAAAAAAGTTGCTTAAATTGCAAATTCGAAACGTAAAATGTATAAAAGTTTTTAGCCGTTAAAGGGGTTTTGAAAAAAAAACCAAAATGAATTCTTAAGTACAGTGGTGATATATAGGGGGATTTCGTCATCCATAATATAAGTGAAAAAATAATACAATTGGGTATTTCTTTTAATTAAAAAAAATATTTTTTAATTTTTATAAATTATTTATTGAGAACAAATATTTTATTTGAATGAAGCAACATCTTATGGTTTAAGCAATTGAAATTGTTCATGTGTACAAAAGCGACATCTTTGTGTCAGTAACATTAATTCTCAAAACAATTAAAAGCTTCATTGAAGTTTAAAAAAAAAATATTTGTTTTTTTATTTATATATTTTTTCTTTTTTCGACTGAATTAATTTCAAGTAGAAAGAAATAGTCTGTTCTAATCCCGAATAGAGCCTCTTTAGTTTATTTTTATTATATTAAATACATATTTTTAATAACATTTTTTTAATTTTCTTTTAATAAGGCAACATTTTCAAAAAATAAAAAAAAAATAAGTAAATATTTTTTTGAAAGGAAATAACCAATTTAATTCAGGTTCAGACATTTTTTATTGAAAGCAAGTGTTCTTATTTAGAATAGATATTCGAAATATTTATGTGAACAAGAGCGACATTTCTATCTCAGTTATTTATTGCTATATTACTCCCTAGACGCTATTGATCTTACTTGGCACTCTGATCTGAAGTTTAGTGGTTCACTATTATGTCAGAAAACCCAGTTCTCGAAATCATTTCAAGCTTTATTCTCTTTTAAAAATATATGTTTTTTCACTAAAATACTTTCTGGTGAGTGTTCGCCCTAGACACTGAAAATAGTCAGCACGAATACCGACAATAGCCTGTTACATTTATCGTAAAACTTCTTATAAAATAAAAAATAATAAAAAAATATTTTATAATTTTCTTAAAAAAAAAAATCAAATAAAAATTTTTTAATTTATTTAAAGGATATAACCAATTTAATTCAGACTAAGATGTATATATATAATTTTTTTTCTTTTTTTTTTTTTTTTTTTTTTGAGAAAAAAATATATTTATGTGCTCCAAATCTTCATGAGAACAACAGCGACACCTCATTCTCAGTTATTCATTGCTAACTTACTGCATAGACCCTATAGACAAATTTAATTAATAAAAAAAATCTTGAATTAATGTACCTTGGCTCTCAGAGCTGAAAGCTTTTAGTTCAAGT